CTTCCAATAATATAATATAAATATCAATTTATAGAAAGTAGAAACTCAGGTTTTGTAATACTTTTCAATTTGCAGAAAACTCTGCAAAATACACATGCAACACAGTAGCAACCTGAATACGCATCAAGAAAAATGATATTTACAGCTGTGCAGCTCAGTCATTCTTTTAAAAACAGTAGATGACATTGTCCCTTGCTTGCTAGTTTGCTGAGGTCTGATAACTGGCCACTGTGGAGGTAGAAAACTCGAAATCATTACAGGAAATCGTTTTTTTTAACTGAATGCAATAACTTACAGAAAGATCACACCAAAAGTCTATTAAATAGGATCCCCATCCCCATGTTTTGTGTGCACAGCTTTCCTAGATTAGAACACTTATTGATCAAATTTCCTGTTCTGTAAATACATATACAGATGCACACACACAAAACAAAAACGCTCTTCATCACAGAAACAGAGTAGGGAGCATGAAATATCAGAGAAAAAGTCCAGTGTTTTATTATTTTATACATCTTCCCAACCTTGGAAATTTTAAAACATGGATTTCAATTCCCAGAATTCTCCAGCCTGCCATGCTGGCTGAGAAATTCTGGGAACTGAAGTCTATACTTCTTAAAGTTCCCACAATTGGAAAATATGCTATACACAATATTCAATGATTGGAGATGACTTTGGTTAGCAAAGCATTACAAGGACTAAAATTGAGCAATGTTTACTCATTCTCCTAAATTAGATTAAATGGGAAATGAGAATCCCATGATTTTCACTATACAGTTAGTTCACTGCTCATTTTAGTGAGACAACTCATTGGCAAGTTATATAACACTCCTGGGTTTGGGTATGCTTTGTTTAGGACAATTATAATATAAAATAATTATAGGTTAAATATTTAAGCATAGCTATCATGTAAAAGTGGATTTCACACAAAAGATGAACAAACTTCTGTACATCTAAAATTGTGAATCTATTATAAAGTATATCCACTGTTAGGTAATAAAGTTGGCATGTACCTAACAAACCACTTGTTCCAACTATTAACTGGCTAAACAGCAAGTTAATTAATAACAAAAACTTCAAATGAGTAAGTAAAATATAGGGACACATTCTTCTAAAGTAAATATATAAATTACTGAAAGGTGAAGCCATAATAGTTTCCTTGGCAATCAATTGATGTAAATGTTGCAGATCAGTTATGTATGGATTTAATATAATCTTATATTATTGTGCAAATCTAAAGAAAAAATAATATATTGACTGAACATAGTCAATTGCTTTCTGATTGATTGCTTGAAATAAGAAGCTTAGAAATAGGGCTGTCTGATTGGTTTAATTCAACTGAATGGTAGGTTTATAACAGCCCAAATCCTGTAAGAATAACTTAAGAAGGATAGATAAATTAGGCTTGAAGCATGAATGGCATGATCACCACTTTCAACTATAGAAACACTGTCTCATAGATGAAGCAAATTTATTTTCAATTGTTCGAAAGAATCACCCAAACAATGGGTTTAATCTGAAAGAAAGGAGATTTTCACTAAATGTTAGGAAACCTTCCCAATGGTATAATCTGTTCTACAATGAAATGAATGTGGTATTAGACTGATTTGCAAAAAAAGCAGAACATGAGGAACCACACAAATGCTAGTATTATTGTCAAAATACGTTTGTGCTAGAAAATATAAGTAGCATGCATAATTTATGTTCTGTGTTAAGAATTGCTTAGGATAATTTTGTTAGTTTAATATGCAATAGAGAGCCATACTACAGTAGTGCAATGATGAAATCCAATTTTTTTTACTACCGGTTCTGTGGGCGTGGCTTGGTGGGCATCATGTGGCTTAGTGGACGTGGCTTGGTGGGCGTGGCAAGGGAAGGATACTGCAAAATCCCCATTCCCACCCCACCCCAGAGGAAGGATATTACAAAATCTCCATTCCCTTGTTTTCATATTTTATTATGCAATATAGAATAATCCAAGTTGTGTCACCAAATATACAGTATTTACATAGAACTATTCGCATCATGTAATAGTCTACAAGCAGCTGCTCCAGCTGAATAGAACCTCATGAAATACCCAGGTGTTGATTGATGCTATCCAAATCATTGCATACTGAAGTTTTACATCCCCTACTTGAGTGAAACATCTGTTGCCAAGCAGGTTTATGTATAACAGCTGAAAAAAAATCTGAGAGCAACTGAAAATGTATAGTATATGTTTTTGGAAGAATGAGGAAGTCTGTTTATGCAGAAATTGAAGCAAGATTAACCATAGCATTATAATATACAGTTACAAAAGAATAACAACATTCAGGCATCTGTCAGTTCAGTATCCCACACACAGAAACAAAGCTTTCCAAGGCTACTAAGTTTGCCTGAGGTAACACTGTTCATCTCAGTGGAGCGCTCAGCATCACGTCAGAGATCTCCAGCAACTGCATGGATAGCTCATGGAGAGAAGGCTGCAGAAGCAACACAACACAACATAGCAGCTTTATTTCATTCTTTAGAAGGAGAAGTAAGTGTGTGCCTTGTGCAAGACAACTTTGAAGTGTGCTTCACTTGAGATATCATTAAAACGTGCCTTCCAAACTTGAATAGTTCTAAGGCAGGGGTGTCAAATTGGCGGCCCATGGGCCAGATATGTCATGTGCAGGCCACACCTATCCCAGCTCCGTGAAAGGAAAAAAACATCATGATGTCACATGACAGCAACATCATGCAGTGAGTTTGACACCTGTGTCCTAATGGAAATTTCAACATTCTGTCCTGACAATAATTTGCTGCATTGACATTAGAGTTACTTCGTTCTTCACAAAAATTGCTTATGTGATGAATCATCATTTCTATGCAAAATCTTCAACATTATCATCTCAAAGTTTCAAAAGTTGATTGAGAATGCTCCTAACTATTCAGTGCATTGAGTTACCAGAATTGTTGAACATCAACATACTGTACGTGATTATTAGGCTCAGGAGGACTATGGAATTTGTGGAGTGAAGAAAACACAACCAATATGCATATTTCCCTTCTTCCAGACGTCGAATAGGTATGACTGTGCGAATGCCCATGAGGAAAGTATTTATGAAGAATATCTATATGCTGCATATACTCATGAATAACCAAGAATTTTAGGTGCCTCTATGCACCCAAAAATTGAGTTTGGCTTATCCAAGGATGGGCTTATCTACTGCATATGATAGTACCTTTTAAGGTACTGTAAATCACATATATACTTGTGGATAAGCCTATTCATGGATAATCTGATCTGAATTTTTTATCAAAATACCATGAAAAATGGATAATCCATGTTTTATTCACAGATGAGCCAACTGGGAATATTACATGACTTTTTTCTGGGATTGGCTTATTTGTGCATGGCACATTTTCATTGTATTTTGGTTAAAAACTCAAGGCTTGGCTTATCTCTGATGAGTATGTATAAAACATGTATGTAGTTAACCCTTTTTCTTGATCTTTCTGAAAAGAAAAACATCCAGAATTAGAAATAAAAGAACAGAGATTGGCATATCAACATTGATTTATAATATGAAATAAAGCATTCACAGAAGGCCTTTGGTGATTGATGGTCATCTTGATCAAAACTGTTGCTTGAATTTCTAGCAGGAGTTTCATTTGTAGCTTTGTTCTTTGTTTTAGGTTACTATGGATGATTTTACTGTAGATATTTTCTATTTAATATTGGAATTACAGGTAGTCCTCAACTTACAACCATTTGTTTAGTGACCATTCAAAGTTACAACGGCACTGTTTTTTGCACTTATGACCGTTGCAGCATCCCCATGGTTACAGGACCAAAATTTGGATGCTTGACAACTGGTACATATTTATAATGGTTGCATCGTCCTGGGGTCACATGATCGTCTTTTACAACCTTTTAAAGAGCCTTGGTAGTGCAGTGGTCTAAAGCACCCTGTTATTAAGACCAGCTGCCTGCAATTACTGCAGGTTCGAATCTCCCCAGGCTCAAGGTTGACTCAGCCTTCCATCCTTTCTAAGGTCGGTAAATTGAGGAGCCAGTTTGTGGCGGCAATAAGCTGACTTTGTATAAATATACAAAAGGATGAAGGCTATTGCTTAGCGCATTGTAAGCCGCCCTGAGTCTCCGGAGAAGGGCGGCATATAAATCAAATTAAAAAAAAAAAAAAACCTTCTGACAAGCAAAGTCAATGGGGGAGCCAGATTCACTTAACAACCCTATTACTAACTTATCAACTGCAGTGATTCACTTAACAACTGTGGCCAAAAACATCATATAATGGAGCAAAATGCACTTAACAAATGTCTTGCTTAGCAACCAAAGTTTTGGGCTCTATTGTGGTTATAATTTGAGGACTAACTATACTAAGGCTATTACTATTTAATATTTATAACTGATTGGTTTGTTTTATGTATGTTATTGCTATTATAAGAGTTCATCAAACGTGGCAGCATATAAATGCAATAGATATTTGTTTTAAATCATCATCTTACATTTTGTTTCTGAACATTCTAATAGTAAAGCACTTCCAATCTTTGCTTCTGTTCCTCTGACCTTTAAGTCCATAAAATAATTTGTTAGAATAATGTACACAGTTGCTATTCCAAAAAGATCAGAGTGGTGGTACTTAGAAATAATCTTGATACCATTTGATTAATTACCATTTATAAAGCTAATCTATTTCAAAATTCTGAAATTTGGGAAAGACAGTTCTGATATTACCCAGACTCCTGCTTAAGAAAATTTGCATATAACTGCAACTTAAACAGTTTTTATGAATATTAAATTATCCTACTTATACAAAGTAAAAGTAAGAGATTATTTCAAATAATACAGATAACACTTGTTCTTTCTATTGGTAACAAATGGTAAGTTCCAGTAATTTTCTAGTGGTGTTCAAAAATAATTCAGATGCTTCATGTAACTGATCTTGAAAATCTTATTTGCATTGTCACCATTCCTATTTATTTCCTTTCTCTCTCTCTCTCTCTTTAAATAATAGCTAATGTGCTGGAAGGAAACTCAATGGAGCAGGACGTGGAAAGCCCTGTTACAATTCATCCACCCAAGTTGCCCAAACAGGCCAGAGAAGATCTGCCAAAACATTTAAGCAAAGAGGGTGCCAAAAGAAAAATCCAGAGGTATGTTAGGAAAGACGGAAAATGCAACGTCCACCATGGAAACGTGAGAGAGACTTATCGCTATTTGACCGATATCTTCACTACTTTGGTCGACCTCAAGTGGAGATTCAACCTTTTCATATTTGTCTTGGTTTATACTGTGACTTGGTTGTTCTTTGGATTCATCTGGTGGCTAATTGCTTACATCCGAGGAGACATGGAGCACATAGGAGATAAGAAGTGGACACCGTGCGTTAGCAACCTCAATGGATTTGTCTCAGCCTTTTTATTCTCTATAGAGACAGAAACTACAATTGGGTATGGTTATCGGGTTATCACAGACAAATGTCCTGAAGGAATTATCCTGCTTTTAGTTCAGTCTGTTTTAGGGTCTATTGTGAATGCTTTCATGGTTGGCTGCATGTTTGTAAAAATATCACAGCCCAAGAAGAGAGCAGAAACTCTGGTATTTTCTACCAATGCTGTAATTTCTATGCGGGATGGAAAGCTGTGTTTGATGTTTCGAGTTGGGGATCTTAGAAATTCACACATTGTGGAAGCATCAATACGAGCCAAGCTGATCAAATCGAAACAGACAAAGGAGGGGGAATTTATACCTCTCAATCAAACAGATATCAATGTAGGTTATTATACTGGGGATGATCGACTGTTTTTGGTTTCACCACTGATCATCAGCCATGAAATAAACCAACAGAGTCCTTTCTGGGAGATTTCCAAAACTCAGTTGCCCAAAGAGGAATTAGAAATAGTTGTGATCCTAGAAGGAATGGTGGAAGCGACAGGTAACAATTTTTATTCTCATATTCTCATAAATTAACTTTCTTTTTTAAGAGGCATTGTATTGTAAAAAAAAAAAAAAAAAAGTTTAAATGTAAAACACTTGCAATTTATTTACACTCACCTGAAGTTTAAGTATCCAAAATTGTCTAACGTATATCCATGCAGTCTGATGGTGCAAAAGACGAATGGAATAAAATGGAGCAAAACAGAGATGGTGCTGTGACATTCTCAAATGGGGTAATAAGACAGATATTCATTGTGGTTAGTTTTCCTATCATTGTTTAATATAATTCTCCTATCACTGTTACATAGGAATGCTTTACAGAACAAAGTTGGGACAAAAAATGAGCTTTCCCAGTGTCAGCACATTTTAGAAACCTTGTGTTATTATGTTTACTAATCTTATTCCTACCAGGAAAAAGAGATCAGATACCTTTACTAGAAGCATAAGGCCCAAGAAAGGTTTAATTGCCAACCCAAGACAATTTGACAGAAATTATATCATTGCTTTTAGTTTAATGTCTTCTCAAAGCAGTTTCACATTTTCACAAATTTTCCAGGCTTAATCAGGTGCTAATTTTTCTCTACCATAGTAGAACCCATGTAATCCTGAACTCAAACCCCCAGATTCAGTCCCCACTATGTGAAAAGTGAAACATTTCAGATAGTTTTACATTGGTTCCTTCATGAACTCTTTGAAAACTATTGCCAATTGGATGATACCAATGGATAGCAGGTGCTAATTAGTGTCAGGCTACATAGACCAATGATCTAATTTAATAGAAGACAAATTTTATATACATATTGCTATGTAAGTCAGTCTTGCACAGAAGTGATCTCTATTTGTGTGATACCATTATCTCATCTGTAGAGTATGGGTTGATATTTGGAGGCAGAGCCAAAAAACAGATCGCCCTATTCTCTCTGCTGGTCTCAGCTTAAGGGAGTCATTTAAAAGATGATCCTGATGGTCTCTTGCCCTCCTCTGATGCAAAAATCACATAAATCAGTGGAATGAAAGGCTATTGACATAACAATACTTTTAAACTACAAAATATGATGTAACCATAAGCTCACATTACTACAGCCAGAACATACCATGCTTCAAAGCAAAGTAATGATAGAATATTTTTTTGAGATTCACATCTGTCATGCTTAAGAAGAAGTGAATTGACTTCAGCCTCAGAGAAGTTCAGGTGAGCTGGTAATGGAATCTATGGATTGTGTCAGAGAAATGCCTACATCAGTAAACTAGAAATGAATAAAGTGACCCAAATGATTGAGAGCTGTCAGTCTAGATGTGGCATCTAAAAAACATTGCAAAGCAGAAGGCGTGTGTGGAATTACTACAAACTGCCCTTTCCAATAAAAAACATTAATAGGTTTTGGAAATACAGAAGTGCATTTCATCAAAAATTCATAAAATGGGGCCACAGGAAAATGATGAGAGTAATCTGGTGTATTTACAGTAAAAAGAAAGTGTCAGAGTTTTTTGCAGCACACACAATCGGACAATTCAGCAGGATTCAAAACTTCTTTATATATTTAATAACACATAAGGCAAATATACAGTACCCATACTGGTTTTTCCAACGTGGTAGAGAGAAGAGATTGTAAGTAGGTACAAACACAGGCCAGGAGACAAGACTTCTCCTATATACAGAATAGTTGAGCTAAGCCATGCCCAGGCTCCTAATTGTCTGAACCACCAAACAGCCCCATTGGCTGACCTTGTTGCTATGCCTATTCCAACTCATGAACTCTTATACACTGACAGAAAGGCAGCTACAAGCACCATAAATTAAGATAGCAAGAGAAGGCATATATCCAGAAAAGCAATCTTGTTGAAAAGACGTGTTGCTTTAAAATTGCTGGCAGGAAATAAAAACTATAAAATATAATGTGTACAGCAGAGAAATGGTGATGATTATGGTAAATGTGGTTTGGAAATAATTGTTTGTTCCATTATATCTTACAATATGAATTCCACAACATTAGTTCACACTGATAAGCAAATGTACCAACATAAATTACAAGAAGATACTCTATATGCCCAGCCATAATTGTATTATTTATATTTAATTCTACACTTGATCTTAGCCAAAAGGCCGAGAAGCGATTTATATTTAATTCTAATGACTAGTACTAGTTCCTGAATAAGTAAGATTCCAAATAAATTTCTGGCATGATGCATCTAGCTGCAAATAAAACATCTCAAAATAGGCTAGTAGAGTATAATCTAAATGTTTGCTTTTCAGTAGATTTTTTTACATGATTGGCATAATTGGCATAATTAAGGAGCTCTTAAGGAGCTCAGGCCTAGCAACAATCCCTGAAGACTCTAAATTCTTTCTCAGCATCAAATCTAAGAATCTGGAAGTGTAGAATTTTAAATATCAGTGTTGGAATTTGGAACTAATCTCTATAATTTCCATCAGCCAGCTGATTTCCCAAGCAATAAAATATGTCATCATTCTATGAATGACAGTTTCAACCATCTGAAATTACAGGAGGTCACGGATTTAGTTCGGAAAATGTCATTACATTTTATTCACTAGCAGAGAATGAGTTTAGTTCTGTTTAAATGGAGCCAGTAGTTTGATGTCGCTCTCACTGGAGAAAAACAGTCACATTCTTGTCAGGCTTCCTGATTATTACATTATGTAAGCCTTTCACAGTACTGATTCTTCCCCAAGAGCAAAATAGAAGTAGTATTCTAAACAACCCTTTCTTTCCCACAAAAGAAAGATGTTTACACATTGTAAAAGAATAAAATATCATAAAATCCTTACAAGATAAATTACTCCTTTATACCTAATCCGTACAAATCTGTTTGTGATTTCATTTATGCTGCCAACAGATGAACAGTTCAAGTCCAGTGTTTGCAGAACCATTTCTGCTTACATTTTTAAAAAGAAAAGCATGCTTTAGCAGCTGCAGAAAATGTTCTGAGAAGCAATAAACTGCATAGAGAATGCTATTTAGATATTTAATGAGGCTATCAAACAGATTACTATTTACAAAGCTTTTTTGACTTCTAGTCTTGTAGATTGATTGTTTAGTCATATGCTGGCTACATTTAATTTTCAGACTCAGTGGTATGCTTTAAAAATTCACAACATCTACATTCAAATTCCACCAATTGTACTTTAGGCTCAATTTAAATTCTGATTTATTTTGCTTTCACCATATGAAGGAACAGGAATTTATATATAACTGAATATCCCATTATCTAGAGGTATTTAGCTCACACTTCATATAGTTTATCTTTCTAATATTAAGAGCTATAAAAGTGAGTCTATTTCACAGAGAAATTGTTCTTGATATGCAGAACTTGTGCTATTAGAACATTGTGTGGTTTATTTTCTTTATAAGTGTTATCTAGGTCCAGTCCCAACTAATTTTGAGCATTCTGTTGCTTCAATCTTCATAATTACTGCAAACTTTAGCAGGTTTAGTTGCCTACTTCAATCTCACCACATAAATGAGGATATAGCTGTAGTGAGATACACTGTTTTAAAATAAAACAGTTTAATCTGCTTCCAGAAAAATTATCATAAATGTAGTTATTCTAGTAAAAATATTTGACAACTTATCAGGGGGGAAAGTGTTGGGTAATATATCCACAGCAATAGAATTTCTCATTGACTTAAGTATCACATATTTGAAACACACTGTCTATTTGAAACACACACACACACACACAAAACCCACTACAGGAGGTTGAATTAATGTTAAAAGTTCCAGAGAAAAATAATTACTGTAAAAGGAGCTGACATAACTGTTCTGCGTGTCAAAGCTTATGCTAAGCATAAGAGAGTTCGTCAATAGGAAATGTGCCTAGGCTTGCCAATCCAACATTGCCACCTATCTGTTTCAGAACCGAATGTCTGGTTTGGAGGCCTCCTCCTTGGTTCTTCAAAATTACTAGAAGCTAGTGCAACAAGTAATCAAGTCTACAAACTAAGAAGAATTATATGGAGGTTGGAACAGGATAGTTACAGAGCAGTGTCAGGCAAAAACTGGAATCAGACAAAAAATCTGAATACTCCCAGTCTAAGGTGGATTGTCTGGTTCTCAGACATATCCAAGAATTTGAGGTGTTCTACTGTTACATCTGGAGATGCAACAACACAGGTTTCTACTGCATCCTATAATGTTCCTTTGCGTCTTACAGTATTTTATATTTAACTCTTGATTTTTTTCACTTACCATACAACTTAGATATATATTTCTGCCATTGTTTAAATGGTACATTGATTTTCATAATGGTATTGTTTGAAACAAAAACATCATTATTGGCAAGACATTCATTTTTATCACAGAAATTCTACTCAGCCATGACAACGGCAATTTCCCCCATCTTAACCTGTTCTTAATTTAATTCCATGTCATAACATAATAATCTGGTATAATATACAATTCATGTTAGACATAGTGATACCCAAGTATTTCCCAAAATTTTCAGAGTAACAGGGTTGGAAAGGACCTTGAAGGTCTTCAACCCCTTGCTCAAGCAGGAGACCATTTCAGAGAAATTGTTGTCCAATCATGTCTTAAAAACCTCCACTGATGGAACATCTATAATTTCTGAAGGCACGCTGTTCCACTGACTAATTGTTCTTACTGTCAGGAAATTTCTCCTTACTTCTAAGTTAAATCTCTCCTTGCTTAATTTCCATCCATTGCATTTTGTTCTGCCTTCAGGTGCTTTGGAGAATATATTGACCTCCCCTCTTCTTTGTGGCAGCCCCTTAGATACTTAAAGACTGTTATCATGTCATCCCTAGTCCTTTTCATTAGACTAACTCTCCAGTCGCCTAATCATCTTCATTGCTCTTCTCCGTACTCTTTCTAGAATCTAAACATCTTTTTTTATATTGTGACAGCCAAAACTGGATACAATATTCCAAGTGTGGTCTTACCAAGGCATTATAAAGCAGAAGTAACACTTCGCATGATCTTAATTATGTCCTTCTGTTAATGCAGCCTAGGACTGTGT